TGAAACTGGGATCGTATTTCTTGACGCCAAGAAACCAGATTCGGACGAACTGGCCAGGTGAATGCTTGGAGCTCCATACATGTGAGTGTAACGTATGAACGCTTCACTTGGACGACATTTAAAACAGTTAAACCAGCTTAGAAAATTCATGGATGCGATAATGCTTCATAAGAATCCTGCGTTACGCAGTCTCGTGGATAGACCTTAGGGCAATCTTAAACTGCCATAATATCAAAAGAAAAGGCCTGGACTCAAGATTCCATTTACGAGACAGGCGCACGGCGCTGTAGTGTGAGGTCACTGAAGGCCTTACCCACGTTGCGGGTACGCTATCCGGGGCCTGAACGGAAGTATGCCGATTTCATGGCCGCACCCTCGAGTCGCATTCGTCACGCAGCCTAGGCCCCCCTACAATGGATAAAACCTTAGAAAGACGTGGTGAGGCCACTTCAAAAAGTGTGTCTTGTCCTTTCGTTGGGTCAACGGAGTGAAGAGATCTCGTTACACTGAGGAATGGTAGATCAGCCAGGGCGTGGCGGAAAGATTAGCGCTGAAGTACCTACCTGCCAGTGCATCATGATGAATAATCCCATCGTCAGACACGCCAGCCAAAGATGGAAGTTCAGATAAGATTGCTACGTTTTCCCCGCATCTGAACACCAACTCGTCAGCGCAGGGCATCAAACCAGCAAAGCATCAGTCACGACGACTTTATGCCTGGAAGATCTGGGCAACCAATATGGCTGTTCCTATCCCACCTGAATCTCGGTTCATCCCAAACAACGTCGGGGAAGGGGAGTATTTCACGTTCTCGGGTGATGCAGAAGCTCTCATTCATGAAGCGCTAACGCATGTCCTCGTCGACACGCCGCCACTGGCTGAATACTCGAACGAACAATGTCGTGGTCTTTTTCGGGGCCCTACATCTCTCGCCTTTTTGCTACTGAAGCTCAGCGACCAATATCCGTCGATGCAAGTACAAAATCAGTTGCTCTGCCACTGGGCAAGTCTCTATGCATCGGCGAAGCGTCCCGGAGAGAACTCCGCCCCTTGCGGTCTAGCTTGCGAGAGCGTCGCACTCTTGGCTGTTAAGACAATGATGGACGAGGCCAATGCTCCCGCATTTTGCAGTGAGCTTGACCGACTAGCTGCTGAAGATCATCCCTTCGAGCTACTATTTGGTTACGTTGGACTACTGTACATGATCCGCGCGGTTGAATCATGGGTAAGTAAGTTCCGCACACGCTGAGTGCTTTCAACTGAGCTTAAACCAGAGACCTGAAGTCGCATCCTCCCTGACTCTCATCAAAGCCCGGATGGTGGAGAAGACTCTCGGCGCTGGGCCCGCGTGGGTCTTTCGGGGCAAGCGCTACATCGGCGCCGTGCACGGAGACATCGGCATTTTGACCCAGCTCCTGTTGACAGACCCGAAACTTGCTAGCAACTCGATGATCAAAAGTTCTCTGAGACGACTGCTAAGTCTCCAGCGGGAAGATGGCAACTGGACAACCAAAGATGACGATGATATTCGATACGAAGGTCTTGTTCAATTTTGTCACGGTGCTCCGGGGTTTGTCGACTCTCTATTGCACATCCGCCGCCTATTCCCGGATATGCACGACATCATGGATGAAGCCATTGAACGCGGACAACAGGCAGTATGGAATACGGGCTTGTTACGCAAGGACCCTTGCATTTGCCATGGGATTCTGGGCAATGCAATGTGAGTATCTCATCTTTCTGCCTTCACATCAAGATTATGCTGACCAAACCAGGGTGCTTCCTCCTGGGCCAAGGAGAAGCCATTTTCTGGCATGGGCCTTGCCGACGACTATTGAAGAGAAGCGACAAGAGGACGACACCTTGTTTGTCCCGGAAAGCCCCCAGAAGATGTCGGCGTGGTTTAACTACTGGCCTGGCGTGGCTTGGACGTGGTCTCAATACGCAAAAGAGATGCCCGGGGTAATTCTATATTCTGAAGTCTAGTGATAAGCCTTTCCATGCAATTAAACATGATTACACGATTGTATTTGTTCGAAGCGATGACGTTGAACACATAGCGGGATCATTTCGAGACACCCTTTCTCGACTCAGACGGCCGAAGTGTCTTCGACAGCCGCGTCGTGGTTCTTCTGTTGCGATGGAAGATTGACAATAAGAAGATACAGAACGTCCTGCTACAAGTGTTAGTGATGTGTTATTGGATTCTGCGATCGTTGTGCTGTAGCACTTACCTTTTGGAACAGACTCTTGATTATGTCATCGACAGTTTCAGCTGGCCCAGCCATCTTCTCTTCTTCAGCGGCTTTCTTAAGCCGTTTCTCTTCCACCTTCTTTTCCTTTTCTAAAGCCTTCTCATTCTTTATTCTCGTGCGCTTCTCCTCGTCTCTGATCTTCTTCTCCTCCTTTTTCTTTTTCCTTGACTGTTCTTCTCGTCCCTTCTTTTCAATCTCAGCTGCCTTTTCCACTTCTTTCCGCCTTTTCTTTTCTTCTTTCTGCATGCCCTTCAGTGTGAGCGGCCCAATGAAGATGATCCCATTCTTCTCCGTTGATTCTTTTGACTCGTCAACATCATGCTGCTCTTGTTTCAACTGTGGTTGAACATGTGCCTCCGATTCCGTGGTGCTCTTCGATGTTCCGTTCTCTGCGTCTGCAATCTTGATCTGCTTTTCATCTTCGATCTTGTTCTTGTTTTGTGCTGCATCCAACTCGACATTTTCCTCAGAAACGGTCTGTTTTCGCTTGTACTGCCATCGCCCTCCAGTGACCAGGGCGACAATGTCTCCGCTGGCGGCTGGGTGAGTCGGATCAGCGTATCGTGACTTGAATTCAGCTTTAGGTAGCGCCTTGGCTGCCGAGAGTTCTGGATTCTCGTTTATCCATTCGACTTGAGCTCTCTTATCCATGTAATCGTCAAGCCAAATCTCCGCCCGATCAAGGCCATTCTTCTTCTTTTGTCCATGTCTGCCTTGTGCCAGTACAAGTTCGCTAGCTGCGGGGAACAGAAGGGATGCTGGTTCGGACCAATCGAGGATGTGGTCATGGGATCTCAAACGCTCTCCTAGTAGTTTCTTAATGCGGCCCAACTTCTCGTTCTCAGATGAGCTTGCCTCCTGAGACACTTTGTCGCCTTTTGAGAATTCAACGGAAGGACTTTCACCGGCTGTCTTGCATTCGAAGTTGACAGGCACCTTCCCGGAAATGTCGTCAGGTCTCCAAGTTGCAACAAAACACATGAGACCCCGCGGCCTAAAGAAGTCCGCGTTCATCTGGTCTAGGAACTTGTTAGACTTGAAGCGACTTTGACCTTCCATGACGCCTTCCACTGCGATACCCAGCAAGATCCCAAAGGCTGTTAGAGCGGGATCCGGTGCAATGATGTCGGCAAGCCCAGCGAGGTTGATGGCATAAAGGTAGGGATTCGGTATCAATGACTTGTTTAGGGTGTCGATGAAGTCCAAGAATGCTTCCTCGCCGATACCCGCGGCAGCAAGAACCGGGGCATAGGCTCTTACAAACCCCCGAACTCTTGTCTTAGGTCGCCTTTGTGGCAAGACAACCGGCATCGTGATTCCGCTTTTGGTGTCAATGCCGTCATCAGATTTGAGAGGATGTCTGTTGAGAAACGCAGTAGCTAGGTCGGTCGACTCTTTCACAGGCTTGGAGCCCCCGTCTTTGGTGTTGCCAGTATTGAAGTTAAGTTGTGTCCCAGAACCGACTTCGACCTCGTCAAGATTCCAAATTGCTTCATGCACACGTTCGCAGTGGGACTCTTGTCCTAGTTCTGGGGACCTCGAGTTTTCTCGTGAGGCCTCTGGGCGTTTGCGATCTCGTCGATAATGTGCGGCTTCCGAAAAGAAGCCAATTCCAGAGGCTGAAGCTCTCGCAATGTCATCGATTATGTCATCTCGTTTGGGGATGGTGCCGCTCGTTCTGACAAACGCTTTGTCGCGCTCGCGAACGAGTTGTTCTACAACACCGGAGGTCGCCTTGGACCAAAGCTCCTTTCCATCCTTCAAAAACCCGGAGCTCATCGTGCTTAATGTAATCCAATAGCATAGACGTAGAGAGTTTTCAACGCAAGTTGAAACGTTGAGTCCCAAGAGATCGTCCCCAACGGAAGAGGAGAGGGTCTGAATGATGGTTTTGTCTCGATTGTCTTTGGAAGAGCCGGTAAAGCTCATTCAGTGATGCAGAGGCTCACATGCAACGCATCATACCGATGGATGGTAGAGCATGTATATATAGAGGGGTCGTACTTTCAATCACGCACATCATGGCACATGCAGACTCTCGCACTCGCATCTGCTGCGCAAGCCTTTTGTGGCAAGGGTTCAGCTGTGCTTGGCATGTCAGCAGCCAAGCCGACCATGTAGTTCCGCGGAGAGCGAGATCTTGGCATGCATGTTGGTAACTAGCTCTGCACCTTGAGGAGCAAAGATCCAGCATTTTTTATCTTACTTCACGGGAGACAAACAGAAAAGGGCTGCTGTCGACCGGGCTATGAAGGGAAGCCCAGAAACACGATGTGGGCCCATAATGCAGCACACAGTAAGGTACGAAAATACGCATTTGATTCAAGGACCTGTTAGTGAGAATTCAAACCCAACACATCGATTCATCAGTGTTGAGCATAAGAGATTTGTATCGTATATAAACAGCAACTCACCATGGATTTTCCGGGCAGATATCTCCATCATTAAGGTGTAGAAATGAGCTTCGTTCCCTGTACAACGGGAGTCCAGTGTCAACCCAGGATCGAGTACGCCAATGTCGGCTGACCACAGCATCTCCACTCCCAGTAGCGATCTGCAACAGGGATCATCCGGCGTTGTGGCAGAGTGGTCTAATGCGCAAGACTAGAAATCTTGTTCCTTCGGGAGCGTCTGTTCGAATCAGGCCAACGTCGAATTTCTTTTTGCATCTTTTACGACATAACTGGTGGGAGTCGTGGACATAATGACACTCTGTCCTTTGTCCACCATCAAAAAAGCACCCATGTCAAGGTGCCAGAGTGGTTAATGGGCTGCCCTGCTATGAACATCTGACTCCGGTTAGCATTCTAGTTGTCTAGGCAGTGGCTTCGGTCGCGCAGGTTCGAATCCTGTCCTTGACGTCTCATTTTTTGCATTTGCTTCTTGTTTGAATTGCTGAGCTCTAGTGGGCTCTTGCGATTGAAAGATATGCTGGCGGGGCTAAATGTTTTGGATAACGAGACAAAACCCCCACCGCTTTCAACGCACAAACTGATCAGCGAACGCCGCCCCAAGCCCGACCTCCTCATAATGCTTCCTCGCCTTGTCGAGCTTGCTGAAAACATCCTCCACACCGACAGGCACTCCATCTGGGTCAACGTAGATGTACGCTCCCGTTACATGAAACATTGTAACCATTTCCTTCACATCGTCCGGCACTTCGAGCGTGTGAATATCTCCCGGAGGCTCATATGCGTAGCCTCCCTCAGTGGCCCACCATGGATGCTCAAGGTAGTGCCATCTGCCTTTCAAGACTGTTGCATGGACAGCGCCGGCGTGACGATGTCTAGAGAGGATGCCAGAGCGGCGGACGCGAAGAATGTTGACAAAGTAGCCTCCAGAAACGGAAAACAGGAGCGGGCGGAACCAGACCGCCGGGGCCTGCGGAACCCAAAGACGTTCGTCACATTCGATGTCAAAAATGCCGGGAATGACCAGATCGTCAGGAACCGCAGGAAGACGAGGGCCGCGGTATGGTACAGCGGCTTGATCGGGGCGATCGTCTGCCTTAGGTTCTGTAGCGGTTTGTGTCGTGGTTTCCATGACTCTCGTTTTGGACAACAAGGGTTGAATGACGATATTGAAGAGGTGAATTTAAAAGACTAAGACGAGATGATCCTGATGCGATGTTGGTGATGTGGTGTCTGACCGAGAGAAAGCTGCACTGCTCAGGTGGCGCGCTTGAGGCAATGATAAATATCTTGCAAATTTTGGTGAGCTAATTTTGCTAATCTAGAGGAACCTAGTTATAAAGTAATGTGTATTAAGTCCAGTCTTTCTTCCCTTCTAACTTTTTTCTTCGCAGTTTACTACCTAGAGGCGCACCTTATTAACTACTATATAACTCTTATAAAGAAATATTTAAGAGCTAGGATAGTTTATAGAGAAACCTCTATAGCTACTTAAGGGGGTATATAAAGAGAGCGTGAATTACTAAGGGGTAAGTATTTTTTTCTTTACGTTACTATAACTTATTATACTAAAATACTAAAGTAATATTATATTTACTACTTCTATAACTACTACTTTAAAAGTAGTAATAGTTTTATTTAGTTTATTAAAAAAAAAGAGTATAATATTTATAAGTTTTAAAGTAAATACTTTTTTTTTTAGAACTATAATAAATTTAAAGAAGTATTATTCTTCTATTACTTACTAGTATATATTATCCTCTACTAATATAGCTATAATAATCTATCTCTTCTTAAAATATTTAATAAGTTTAAAAATATTACTAAAGTATTTAAAAATAATAAAATAACTAATAATTAGTATTATAAAGTAAACTAGTTAAACTATCTAAAATAAGAGAGCTTATTAGTAGAACTTAAAGTAGTACTATAGCTTAATAGAGTAGTAGTTAATAAGGGTAGTTTATTAGATATATAGGGGGTAGTTAGAGTAAGGGGGACCTCTTATATATCCCTAGTTATATAAAAATTTATAAATAAATTCTTCATAAAATAGTATTAAGTCTAGCTTTAGCGACTAGATATCTCGTTGTAGGCGTAGCGCTAACGGCGGTTGTTTCTAATATAGCGTTAATAGCGGCATACTTTAGTAATAAGATCTTTAGAATTCTTTAGTTTTATTACCTAGTTTTTTTTTTTTTTAGTGTTCTAGAAAGAGAAAATTCTTACTAATAAACTTTAAGGTATTAATAGATATTCTACCTATATTTAGCCTTATCTTTTAAAGTTATAGAGAACTTTAAAAGTAAGGATTAGTATAGCTATAAAACTAACTAAACTAGTAAGGATTATAATACTATATTAACCCCTCTATAATAATAACTTAGTTAAGATAGCTTAACTTAACCTTACTAACGTTTATAGTATAGAAATAGCTATAATTAGCTATCTAAACTATTCTAACTTCTAATAAAACCTTAGTTTCTATAAGAATATTATTAAGTATTATATTAGCTTAAAAAGAATAAATATATTAATCTTAATAAATAGTAAGCTAAGCTATTACTAAAAAGTTTAAATTAAGCTATTAAACTATATATAGCTTCTATAGAAATTAATACTATAATAAATACTACTATATAAGCTATCTCTTATTTAAGTATAATAAGCTTTTAAAACTATACTAAGAGTAATTAATAATAGTACTTTATATTAAGCTTTAGATATTATATTAATAGAGATACTAGCGATATTAGTATAGTAGATAGCCCTATTAGCTAAGATATAGTAGTATTAAGTATAAGAGGATTCGTAATAATATAGCTACTATAAGTACCCTATTAATTAGTCTTAAAAAGTCTCTTTTTTAAACTACGCAGCTTATATAACGCAGTTACCTGGGGCTGAGGCCTACAGGCACTGCACAGGTTAGTTCACTACTATTCTCTCTCAAGTGCAGGGCGGCAGGGAAGCCAAAGAAGCAAGTCCTTTCGCTAGTATTATCCAGATCAAGTTCGCCGGTATTTCTCAGATTAACTCCCTGTCGTGCTCTTCCACGTCGACGACTATCGTAACACCGCATAGCGGCCATCGGCGCTAAAAGATTTTGCCATGACCGTGGCAGGGCTCGAACCTGCGACCTTCTCAGGATCAAGTGCACATCTTGTGAACGAGAAATCATGAACCACTAGAACACACAGCCGGTCTATCGTAACACCGCATAGCGGCCATCGGCGCTGCACTATCGTAACACCGCATAGCGGCCATCGGCGCTGCGAACAGCTGCCGAAGAGTGATCTTTAGAATTCATCGGGTTTGTTTCGGAGCTTTGCTAGTCGGGCACTTCGGAGCTTTGCTAGTCGGGTAGTGCCATTTGGCTATCCGGGCAGTATCCACACACACAAACACACGTGTATAATCCGTAGCCTGTTTCTAAAGCGACTATATTCCCTATTCTTACCTTCGCCGTCGTTAATATCTATTATCGTTATCTATTATTTTTATCGTTATCGTCGTTGTTATTATCGTCGCTATTATCGTCGTCGTCTTTCGTTATTATCCTCAATATAATTGCTATTATTCTCTCCATATTTTCAGATCATACCTAGGGGACACTGCCCGGATAACAAAATGACACTGCCCGACTAGCAAAACTCTTGTTTTGGAGAGCCGGAGGACACTCTTGTCTCATGACTTGATGCGATCGTTAAAAGAACAGAACGCAGATTAGATCGCATTCGTTTCAATAGGTATCATGTAATAGCTAGCTTCCATCCGCGATGCTCAACGATATCCAACCAGTCAACCTTGCCCTCATCAGAACCCCGCGACCCCGAAGCCCGCAATCTCCACACCTCATCAAGAACATCAACGCAAGCTTCAACATTCCGAAATCTGCGCAGTTCCACAATCATTCCCAGTCTTTCTCGAATAGTCTCGACGTGTTCTGTGTCCCGCGCTTCCCCGCCAGCAATGAATAGTGGAAAGACAAGGGTGCATTCAGCCAAGCATCCTTCGGGCATTCTACCCACAAGATCGCAGATCTCCTTCACACAGGCCTGGATCTTGGCTTCGAGGACCCCAGAATAGCCACAAACATGTCGCCTGATTGTTCGATACAGGTGTATCAGCGCCGCATGTCGGTAGGCCTCTCCTAGTTGAGTCAGAGGCGAGCCTTCATCTCCTGATGGACAGCTCCAACTCCGCAGTTCGCTTTCGAGAAAGCGAGCACGATCCGAAAATGATGATCGAGCGAATTCACTGCCATCGCCGCCAGCAGTTTCGGGAATAATTACGCCATCTTCTTCCATAGCTGCTTGCTTCGCCCCGACGAAGTCGGCATTTAGAACGCTGGTTTCTGAAATGAGAAATAAAACCCGCGAAGCGAATCCGAAGTAAGGGTCTGCGAGGGAATTGTCCTCGGACAGCCAATAGTCCCCAACTAAAAATGGCCGGCAGTCCATGGAGACACTCATCAACACGTCATGGTAGGCAAAGTTCCGAAGAAGCCATTTACCCTCAGGCGAAGATAGACATACGCCTTCTGCCTCAGGATCCAATCTTCCCCCATAAGGCGTAGTCTTCAACGCAGCTGCGGCACCAGCGAGATGGTGATACCAAGTATCTGTCGCATCTGATATCGACTCCATTGAGCATAGAACCATGGTCACGGCAAGACACATTTCCGGGGATAGCTCGGAGTCTCTCATCGCTGTGTTAAGCTTGCTCAGGGCCAGTCCCCGATGTCGCAAGGCGACATCCTTGAACTCACTTGACCGCAACGCCAAGTGAGATGAAGCCGAAGCCGCCAGGGCATACATCAGAGGTTGACACTCAAAAGCCATCGGCATGAGAACTAGTGATCATCAGAGGTAATTACAACCCATAATCAGTAAGGCCACAAACCTGATAGAAAGCAGTTGTTCTCTAGATTGGTCGTAAGAAGAAACGCTAGAGTGACTGTGTAATATCGTAACATCGATCGCCTACTGGCAACGAGGTTGGTGGGCTCTACATTGCCGGAGACAGTAGACACAAGGTCTAGAGGTTTGCATAATTGTGCGATACGAACGATCTCCTTGTGTGAACGGCAGTGACAAATCACAGGAACATCTTCGGTGTCCGTGTTGCTTGGGTCTTTGGAGGGAGAAGAGGAGGGTTTCAGAGGCCGCGGAGTCTCTCTAGTGCAAACCAGATTGAGGCGTGAACAGTGCCCACAAATCGGGTACACCTGGTCGCATTTCTTTTTCCTGGATTTCTGAGCATGAATGATCAGGACTTGAACAGCGGAACATTATCATACCTCTGTCGACATGTCACACACCCGCGTCTCTGGCGTGTGTACCCACCTCTCTTGTTCCCATGTCTTGGTTGTGGCATCGCGTGGATGCAGTAGTACCGGGGCAGTGACGGGCGGGCTGATGTTCGTCTCGCGTCGGTGATAAGAGTGA